TCTTATAATTCTCAGATGTTCAATAATGGTGGAATGAAATATTTCTGTAGCACTTTTCGACTGGGTACTATTTGCGGTGACGTAATGTGTTTCGACTTTGTGAACATCGAAAAATTCCTGAACAACCGAATTTTTTAATTCAGTTCCTCTGTCCATTACAACTAAATAGGGAACACCGTGATGAGACATAAATATTAGAAATGCTCTTGTTATATCGATACCTGTTAGTGCTGTAAGTGGGTAGGCTTGTCCGTATTTTGAAAAAGTGTCAATAATTGTCAAAAATTTATGTCCTTGTGCAGATAGAGTGTCACAAAATATAATTTCCATTGGTTTTGACGGTGTTGGTGTAACATATAATTTCTGGCGTGGAGGGTTTTGGTCATATTTATTATCGTGACAAATCTCACACTTATTTAAGAAATTCTTTATGTCGGTTTTCATGGTGGGCCAATAGTAGAGTTGTTTAAGTTTGGTTTCTGTTTCAAGTATGCCACGATGGTTTGTTTTTCCTTCATGATATTGTCTCATAGTTTGGTGTTGTTCATCTTTGTCAGAAACGTGTCTTAGAATTGTATTGCACTGAAGTAATTTATAAGCAGAATTTTTGAATACATTTCGTAATACTTCGAGAATTTGGGAAATGTAATTCTGGTCCTGGTTTTTAAAATACACACCGTATGTATATTTTGGATGAATAAAGTTTTTAAAGACGTTTATGGTGTTATTCTCTAGGTCATTAGTAGAAATTTGTATATAAAGACGTTTTTTGTTGGGAAATATCTGTTCGGTCTTTGGCTTAACTGATGAATGTAAAACAAAGTCAATAATAATTTGATGGTCAAAAGAATTTAAGCTTTTTTTCCGAAATTTGCATTCCTAGAACAGGATCTTCTGCACTTGTATGTACGGTATTGTTGTCGTCATCTTCTTCATCTCCTTCTGGATTTGATTGATTTATTTCGTCTTCTCATTCTAAATTTTCTTCTGTCTTCATTTTCTTGATTTTCTTTATCTATTGTTTGCAAATCGCCTGCATTTGCAAGTACTGACTCATTGTCTATATTTTGGTCGTTATTAAGATTTTCCATGTATTTTATAAATTCATTAGTATTTATTTCAACTCTAGATAAAGCGTCGGCATTTCCGTTTGTCTTTCCTTTTATATATTCGAATTCGTAATTAAATTCTTCTAGCTTTAATTGCCATCGAACTAGTCTAGAATTTGGTTCCTTCAAAGACATTAAGTATCTGAGTGGTTTATGATCACATTTTATTGTAAACTTAACTCCGTAGAGATAAGGTCTGAAGTACTTTGTGGCCCATATTATGGCTCTCTCAATAGTCCTATACTTTTGTTCGGATTCATTTAACGTTCTGAATGCGTACGCAACAGGTTTTTCTTGTCCGCCTGTATTTTGGGCTAAAACTGCTCCAATAGCGAAACTACTTGCATCAGTTGACAGAATAAATTTCTTCGTAAAATCCGGGTACTGTAAGATTGGTTCGTTGGTAAGCAATTCTTTGCAATCTTCAAAACATTTTATGAACTGTGGTGTGTGTTCAATTTTCTCACCCTTTTTTAGACAAAATGTTAATAGTTTTGTCACACGAGCAAAATCTTTTATGTATCTTCTGTAGAATCCAAGTAATCCAAGATAAGATTTTATTTCTTTAGCTGTTTTTGGTAATGGGTACGTATTGATAGCTGCGATCTTATCGGGGTTTGGCTTAATACCTTCAGGTGTCACAATGTGTCCTAAATAAGTAACTTCCTTTCTTAGGAACTAACATTTATCCAATTAAATCTTAAAATTTGTCTCTTTTAGTCTTTTGAATAATTTATCCAAGTTCACAATGTGTTCTTGCAATGACGTAGAAAATACTAAGATGTCGTCTAAATAAACTAAACATATCTCCATTTGTAATCCTCTCATAATGTCGTCAATTACTTTCTGAAAAGTTGCTGGGCTATTCTTTAATACCATTGGCATTCGAACATACTCATAGTGTCCGTTCTCTACAGTAAAAGCTGTTTTCTGGATATCTTCAGGTTTCATTTCGATTTCGTAGAAACCACTAGCTAAATGTAAAGTTGTAAAGTAGTTACACCTGCCTAATTTATCCAAAACATCGGTAATATTCGGGATGGGATAGCGGTCGTCTATCGTTTTTTCGTTGAGCTTGCGGTAGTCCACTACGATTCTGAAATTCTTTTTACCGGAAGCGTCCGCTTTTTTTGGTACTATCCAAATATTCGACGACCAAGGCGAATTGCTTGGCCTAATAATTCCTTGGTCCAACATGGATTGTATTTGTCTCTGTACTTTTGTTTTATATACAAATGGATAACGGTATGACCTAGAATAAATGGGCATTTCGTCAGTAGTTTTTATGGAATGTTTCATTTGGTTAGTAAAAGTAAGTGGTTCACCCTCTCTGTGAAATATTGTAGAATATTTTCTACATAGTTTTATAATTTGTGCCTTATGTTCGGAATTGAGATGGCCAGTTCGAATTGTACTTTGTCGGTATTCTCGTCTGGTATAATGTCGGCGTAAAATAGGTCGTAAGAATTATATTCAAAGGGTACAGTTTGGAGAGGTTCAGAAAGAGAGAAAATAATTTCGTCATCAGTATTATTACGTATTTCAACTATAGCATTGCCATTTTGAGCTTCAGAAAGTATAGAAGGGATTTCGCAATTTTTTATGAATTGTCTGGCAATTAAGATATTGCCGGATTTTTGACAGACAGGAATATTGGTTACAATACGACTATGGGGATCGATTTTCCTTTTGAAAATAGCTGGATTGCTTTCCAAATAATGTATTGGCAAAGTTGTCTCAGGTGTAATTAATTTAGAATTTGTAAGATCTAAATGGGCTTGTAACATTTTTAAGGTATCTATGCCTAAAAGGCCATCAAAGATATCATGGAAAGCGAAAAGGTGGAATTTAAAATCACCAGATTTATTAAATTCATCAAATATGGGGATCATTGCACAATTTTGTTGAGTTGATGTTTGAAATGCTGCCGATACAGTGAAAGGTTCCCTAGATATTTTATTTTTATAGAATTTTTGGGTAATTTCAGGCTTTAAAAAGGACTTACTCGCTCCAGTATCAATCAATAAAATAATGGGTCTATTAGAAATTTTGATATAGGGTAATTCTTTTTTATCAGACGAAATGTTAAGTTCGATCAAGGGGTTTTGTTGGTCAGGTCGGTTTCGTGAAAATTTTGAGAATCGTCATCATTTACATATTGATAGTTGTCAAAATATTCATCTGAATTATAAAAATTTTGATTATGTTTTGCCTCAGGTATTACCTCTGTGTTAAATAACTCTTCATGATAGAAATTTGGATTTTGGCCTGTGCTTTTAAAATAATTATAATTTTGTCGGAAGTGTGGTGCTGTATTTCGTGTAGAAATACTCATAGGAGTGGGTTTAGTCTGATTATTATTTGGATTCTGCTTCCAAACATTTTTTGGTTTACCGAAAACTTGAGAATTTGTAAAATATTTGGTTTGGGGTGGATTTGGGTGTCTTGGAAGTTGTACAGTACCTCTGGGAAATTGAGATCGATAGTCAACTGTCTGAGTTATATCTGGTTGAAAGTTAGATGTAGAAGGTTGGCTCATTCTTGGCTGAGAATATTGTATATTTGACTGTCGAGATGATTGAAAATGATTGACATTTGGATTAGTTGGTTTTCGAATAAAATTATTACTATTATTAGAATTGTTGTGATTAAAAGTTTGATTTTTCTGATAATACTTAATATTATCCTCCTCTCTAATTAACTGAATCGCTTTCTCTAACGAAACAGGTCGCATTGCACGAATAATGGGCCCTAAAGGCTCCCTAGGACCAGCTAAAAATAATTTTAAGGTCTGCTTCGTAAAGAAAGCTCTTTTAGATTCACGTTCCTGATTAATATAGTGTACATCAATATAATTACAACTAGCATTTAATAAAGTTAAAAGTCTTTCATGAAAAGAATATGGAGATTCATTAGGTTTCTGTTTCATATTTACTAAATCTTGATTCAAGCAATTTTCATCACGATGATCACCAAAATTCTGAATCAAAGTATTTTTTATATCTGGCCAAGTTTTAGCGCCGCTTATGGCTACTATTTCTTCTGCTTTGCCTTCTAATTTATTAAGAATACCATTTAATAATAAAACACTTTGAAAACTGGCTAGATTATTCCTATCAAAATAATGATTTAAAATAAATTCAGTTGCATTTACAAATCTGTGAAGTTTATTTATATTTCCATCAAAATTTGGAATAATTTAGAAAGTTTTCATATCTAGAACAGGTGTTGCCATTTTATCTTTTAATTCTAATTTACAAAAATTATTAATTAAGCCTAACTCTTCGTTAGTATCTATTTCGCTGAAGGATTCGTTTTCAGAAGAAGAGTCTGACATAAACAAAAATTACTTACCACATCCGTGCTGCAAACTGTCTTCCTCGATGGAGTTCACTGGCAAAACTGGGAAATTTTTGGAAATTTTTTATATCTGCCATTTGTTGGTTTTAATTTCTTGTATTGATGATATGCGTATTCATTTCATTCAGCTGGTCTTTTTCTTTCGATATATTTAATAATATTTCCCATTTCAAACTTTCACTGCTCCAGTTCCATTCCTCGAGGTGAATTTTTAATTAAGTAAAGCTTACCTTGACTATCTGCCATTTATTTTTTCTTTATCTTTTTAGTCTCTCTCTCTCTCTTTCTCTCCCTTTAACAGTTTGTTGCTTGTTGAATAATTGTCTTTATTTTTCACGATTTTTTTGCATCAAAGCTTTGAATTAAATACTGTAATAAAACCAATAACAAAACAGAGAACAGGCTACATTTTTCGATGGGCTTAATTTTGTAAATTGACGCCAGTTTACCGTTTAAATTAATTTCTTTTACAGCTTAGAAACTAGACCAATACTTTTAATCACATTATTTTAACAGTCATGAGTTTTTTAGAAAGAAGTGTATATTGAGCAGCAAACCATTTTTAACGATGATTTAAAAAATGCAAAACCAACTGTGGCACAATTAAATGAAATGAAATATTTGGAGCTCGTCATAAAAGAAACGCTTAGACTGTATCCATCGGTGCCGTATATAGGAAGAAAATTGTCTGAGGATGTAATGCATAGTAAGATGATATATTATTAGTTTTTATCAGATATAGTTTTATGGTAAAAAAATGGATATGATTATGCTAATACAGAAATATGATAAGTCAATGCTAAATTAATTGGCAAACAGCATTTGCAATATTTTCGCTGTTTCTTAAGAGAATGTGCGTCCCAATCTGATTGAACGAGTAACTAATTACTAAATTACTTATTATCTGACATTACTATAATAGTAACTAACGTGCTAAATGAAAACTTATTACAGTACAATAAAACATATTTTGTTAAATATATATATATATATATATATATATATATATATATATATATATACATAAGGGTAAGGTAATGTTCGTAAAAAATAATTACCAATAGTTGCAAACCATACGTTTATTTAAAATTCATGTTTAAAATGCATATCGTATACTTTGGTACCATTACAATTACCTTGTACTTTGAATGGTGAAATTTATTTACATTTTTTATAAAATGATTTTATTAATTTATTGAAAGAATTGTCATCAAACTTAAGGCGAAATATGTACAAGATGGTACACCACCACATTATAGAGAGATGGCAGTAAGAACATAATTAAATACAACTCTTCTCAACGTTGGATTGTTCGTGGTAGTCATATTCCTTGGTCATGTGGTGAGATATTAATATAATTATTTAATTTATGAAAATCCAAACGAATGCTTGATTATTATATTATATTTATTATATAATATTATACTTTTAATATTTAAGGTCGTAGCATATTATCGTGCACGTTGCGTTTCTAGTTCCTAGCGTTTAGTTTCGGAAAAATATAATTTACATGGTTTTAAATATGAACAATTCACACTGTCCGGAACCTATCGTATCAGCCACCTAACGTTTCCGTTTAGTATATTCGAATACAATATTTAACGGATGCCCACGGCTACAGAACGAGTCGAAACCTGTTGGTATATATAATGTGAATTAGGGGTCCGTCATTTTCTTTTCGTTGTTTATTTAGGATTTGTTTGATTTTGATATAGATTATTTAAAAAAATAATTTTCGAGGATATTTTGTCATTTATGCATGTTTTCATTGCTTTGTGACAGTTAATCACGAAAGTGATAAACAATTAGGACTTTGCACGGACGTGATACCTCTTCTTTTTTAAAAATACTCCTTGGTTTGATATGTATGGCTTCGTTAAATGTAGTATTTTGTTTTGTAACTAAAGGTGTTAAATATAAAAAATTAAATGTAAAAATGTTTAAAGGTGTAAAATTAAATTTAAAATATATTTAAACTAAATCCTATTCATTCTAAAATATCCATCATACTTTCCATCGTCATCAATTAATTCTTTGTATAAAGTCCAGTATTAACCTTCCTTTTTTCTTTCTCTTAGCATTGGTTGTACTTCAAACCTTCTTTTTACTAAAGTTTTTCTTTCTTCATCGTTAAGCAGAAGAACAATTGCACATAATTTTTTTCGCGAAAATCGAGCACATAGTTATCTTCACCGCACCAAACTGAAACGTTCTATGTATGAAAATGTGAACGCGCAGTCTAAATGGAGGACCTGAAACCTATGTGTCGGAAACTATATGTGCAGGATAATATGCCGCAACCTTTATTATAAATACTGCAGCAGTTTCTTATGAAACAATGATGTTATTTATTATGAGACGATCTTTTATGGAATGTATTGACAAATGAATGGAAATGGTGGACATATCAAACAATTACTTTGACAAAAAGTTTAATGTTAGTTAGTTTAACTATTTCTTAATTTAGTTTATAAATAAAATATTTTGATTATGACTTTAATTTAATACAAAACGTAAAATGTTTAATGTAAAATTAAATTATTCTGTTATTTTGTCAATTCCTACTAATACCTATTCTGCTGATATATTTATTTTAATTAATATTTCGTTAACTATTAACTTTACAAAACGTATTTTATACCAAAATTTAGAAATATTGATGTTTTTGTCTAATTTTCTGTGCCTGAAGTAATTATGTTAAATCCGAATTATTTAGTTGATTTGTAAAATGCGATTATCTCGAAAACTGCAAAGTTTTGAAGTTATTAAGTTATTAACATATATAACTTTTTTTTGTATATTGCATAATGTATCTATCTTTAAAATTTTTTATCACAAACACAGGTAACTTAAAGAGCAAAATAGTTAAGTGCAGATGTATGCCACATATGTGGCATATCCATGTGGCGCCCTCTATCAACTACATAAAAGTATGCATAAAATTATAATTCCTGATGTTCAATAGTACCCAGTTATGAATTTTGATACATAAATGTTCACAAACATGAAAGTTATAGCGACAATTAAAATTCTAAATTTCCACTTTAACACCCTCTATCTTTCTTAATATCACCATTTTATTAAAGCAATTTGTTTTAAATCGTAATATTTTAAAGTATATATTCTACTTTTTTTTGTACAATTATTTATGGACCACCCTGTATTTACTGAAAAATTTAACCTTTATTTCACTGGTGTGCTAAAATTGTTCTTACACTCCTTTGTTTGATAAGTTTTGGTTATTTTTTTAAATTGATGATAATTTGTATGAGATTATATTGGATATAAAAAGGTTACATTTTTATCGTATTATTTTACATAAATTTAAAAACATAAATCAAAATATCAAAAATTAAAAAAGTAGGTATGCTATTAAAAATTATTTAAATTTAATTCTTAATTTAAATTATCTCACTGATACAATATAATCCTCACCTAATCGACAAGGTATATTAAAAATCCATTATAAGCTATGTTACTAAATGTTAAAAAGGTTTTTTTTCAATATGTTTAACACCAAGTTGTATATGATTCATAAAGGAAACCGAACGCCCTATAACATTTTAGGTCGAACACTGTCAAAGACATTTTATATACGAATTTTAGTATTATCCTGTACTATGGGCGTATTGTCACATATTATATTCTTAATTTATCAAAAAAAAAATTTTGTACCACTGTATCCGATCCAACTATCGCTGTAGTTATTATTTAGTATACGTCTAATGGCTTCTCGTCACATCGGCAGACGCGTCCGCGGACGACATCTACGTATCCATCTGGAGATGTGTAGATGGGGTAAGTTGATCATTTGTTATTTATATACCACGTTCGCGGATGCTTCTGCATGATATCCGACTGTTGTCGGTTTTTTTAGCACATATCAAAGGGTTTCGGTGCGGACGTCAGATATTGCGTCTCTCGTGAATTAACACAGACTGACCGATAGATGTGTTGAGATGTGTGGTCAGCTTGTGCTGATACATCTGCAGATGCGTCCGTAGACGCGTCTGCCGATGTGTAGTGGAGGCATTACATATATTGTAGGATGCGGTGATGACTTGTCATGTTGAAACCACATGTTTCGTATAATTCCCAACTGAACATACTCTAACAAGCCAGGAAACTTGTCTGTTAAAAACCTATGCCATTTAATACCCGTAACCGTTTGGGAAAATAATTTCATTCAACATATTATCATATTATCATATTCAACATATTATCCAACAATACCCCTACAAATAATCGACCAGCACCTGTTCTGGGACGTAACTGGAAAAATGTGAAGATTTTCGTTTGTTAATGAACCTATTCATATATGGCAACATGGCAGCAATTGAAGAAGTCAAAAAAGATTTAAATAAAGTAAACAAAAGTGATTTAATTAGGATAATAATTGAAAAGAAAGTGCCTCTAGAAATAAAAACAAGTAATAAAGTGGTAAAGTACGTGGAAAGTGCTGAAAGTACTAAGTTTCTTGACGCAACTACTGAAATACCTGATAATTCTGTAGCTGACCATGCCGAAGCGGTAAGTCATTTAACATTAAAATACGATCTTAAAATCGCAAACATTCAATTAGACGCTTCAAAACGTATTATCAGAGAGCTTGAACGAACGATTAGTAATCAGGATTGTATTATAAACTTGCTACAAAACCCAGCAAATTTGGAGGTTAACCCTAGAAAGGTGGACTATCGTAAATTTGACGACGCTCCTCGGTTTTCGTCGCAGTTCGGGTGCAGTCGCGTAACCTCTGCCCATACACTTCTCAGTAGCTGTTTCTTTAGTCTTGATTTAACAGGCGGTGAGTGTGTTTCTCCACTACTGTATTTATGTATTAGATTTTTTGAGGGCACGTCGTCAATTTTACGAAAGTCCACCTTCTACGTTAGTTTTTTTCTCTCAAGTTTATTTGGACGCCGGTGACGTTTTTGGTAAGTCGTTATCTAATTCTTTTTTATATTTGTAGTAAATATTATTTTATTTAATTGTAGCACTATGTCATCACGAAAACCTTTAACGGCAAGTGAAATAAACGATGAAATACAGCGTATAATGAATGGTGAAGATAGTGAGCAGGAACCTTTTGAAGATAGTGAAAGTGACTGGGAGTTAGAAGAAGATGCTTTGGAGTTTGAATCGGACGATTCAGATGAAGAAGATGACTCTAAAAATAGTGGTAATTCCAAAATTTTCCAGCCATCCAGTGTATCCAGTTCATCTGTAAATTTAATGGATGCAGATATAGAAGCAATAGTGATGGAAAGCGAAAAATCTACAGAAGAAGTACCTGGAACATCAGGTGAGAACTCCACTGTTTCTCAGTTTATTGTAAATCCGGGAAAGGCTCTAAAAGGTAAAAACGGGCATAAGTGGTCAAACAAAATACCTTCATTGTCAAAAAGAACGGCAGCTAGAAATATTATTCATTTTATAGCTGGTCCCAAAGGAAATGCCAAAAACTACACAAAAGTTGAAGAATATTTCTTACATTTTTTTTCAGAGGATATATTATGTCGTACTCTGTTACACTCAAATACTGAAATTACAAGACAATCTAAAAAATATGCCAGTCGTCCTAATATTTCTGACATGAGTAAAAATGAGCTACAAGCTTTATTGGCAATTTTGATAATGTCTGCAGCAAATAAAGACAGTCATCTATCTGTGAAATATATGTTTGACAGTAATATATCAGGAAAA